GGCCACTAGTGCGATCTGTCGTCTGGTCGGCGGTTCACAGCAATCACAGCTGGAGGGCAGTTGCAATCAGTCACTGATCAGATCAACCCAATTCGTTCCAAGCCAAGTAATCCGCTGCGGAGCGTAGGAAGCTGCCATGCGATGCGCCTTTCCGCCACCCCAGCAGAGCTGGTGCTTGCGCAAGCTCACAAGTGGAAGGCTTGCGAACAACAAAGGTCTCCTTATGGCTGTTGCCCCTCCGCCACATGCGACCACCCGCTCGCTCGCTCGAAGAGCCACACAAAGATATTCCGTTCCGACCTTCGACTGCTGCACAAGCCTGCAGACAGAGCCCGACGACACGGACACAGGCCGAAGTCGGCGACAAGGGAAAATCAGGCAGACAGAGAGACAAACGACAAACCTACCTCAGCCTGGTGTTGTTGAGAGAAGATACCCTGTATCGGCAAGCCAGCTCTTTCGCACCTCAGCAACGAAATTCGGGAGGCTGGAAACCTCACCATCGGCTAGCTGCAAGGTCTCATCTTGGACGCGAAACGAATGTACCCCGATCTGTCACACTTACTGGCGGCGTCCCGTGGCTGCTACCTTGACAGAATTACACGGCACGAGGATGACTTTGTCAAATCATACTGGACGTTGTGATACAGAAGACGAGGAATCTACAATGAGGTGAGAGACATGAGACACATTAATCGCAACTGGAGCTATACAACGCTAACCACGGATGATCGACCGCTAGAAATATTAGCGTGCTTTAGCGTCAATATCCCAACGGCAGGCAAGTATACCGAAGTGGTCTGCACTTCAAGGACTTCCGCGACCTATTGTTACTCAACCATCCCTATGCACATGAAGGATACCAATCCAGAAAGAAGCAAAGAGGGGGCGACAATGAGGAAACAGGAAGCAGTTTGGGCTGCGTTGAAACAAAGAGATTTGTACACAAGACTCTTCCTGAACCTGTCGACAATGTTCACAGACGTGGTTTGATCCTGTCTTTTGTGGGCTCAGCGAAGCTTTTCTCGTGACAAGCATATCATATATCGTTACGGAAAGCTCTGAATTATGTGAGGCTTCGTGTTGACGGTAAGCGATGTCGAAAAGGCTGAATCCTTCGGGTTGGAAGCTGCATCGAAGTTGTAGAGGACCATAACGGCCGCTAGTCTACCACGGATGGTCCTATTCAGTCCTGATACATATCAGCACAGCCTACTGCATTCCTGTATCTAATTATGAATTGTGTTATGTATTCTTCGATGAAAGGGATGACATCGGCCGCTTCCTGGCGGCAAGTAATAGCAACAGAGGAGCTTTGGCGCTCCCGTACAAATGCGCCTCCGTATCCATTTCTGCCACCGTTTGCTTCTCTGTTGGTAGGCGTGTAAAGTTGCAGCACTGCCAGTTCTTCTTCCGGTCTTCATAAGAGCTTCTCCTGTCTCAACTTAAAATGCTTGAGGTCACACTATTGCTTCGCAGGATGTGTGCTTGACCGCTCTGCACACCTCATCTGGCCAGCTTGCTTCCATGCACCCCTTCTCCTCCCTGACCATTGGAATCTTCGTTGCTGGATACATCACTGCGCGCTGGGATCTTGTTACCAGACTCTATGAATTAGCAATATTTGCCTGGTACCACGGGGTCTTTGCACGTGTGGCGAAAGCATTTGCGGTTATCTCCCTCATCTACGTCTTTCTCGCCATACCTCTCGACCGCCTTGCCTCCCACGAAGCCGCTGTCCATCCTCGAATCCTAGCGCATGGAATTTCCGCTCAAGAACAACTACGTCGGAGGGGTTCCTTTTAAGCCTTGACAATATGTTATCATGGTCGAGAACAGCGATGGCATGCTACGGGTATTCTGGCCGAGCAGCCTTACTCGGACAACCACACCCGGTGTAATTGTAGGATGGAGGAATTCGGAGTACGATTTGTTTGTTATAACAGTCCTTGAAGACGTTGAAGTAAGGTGGTCAAAGAGAGATGAGCGGAAACCAATGCTGACATACCTCAGGTCCGCAGCGTTGAATCTGCTCTTCGCATGGGCACTCTGTTTCGCAACAGTCCATACCCAGTGGCCCGAATCTTTCAGCTTTGCGACCAGCCTCACATGCATGTTTTGGGCACCCTCAATCACCCAGACCCGCCAGAGATCTTCGATCCTCTCACAATCTGCGCCTTCACCATTCCAGGCTCGCGGCGACCTTCGATCTATTGTCCGCCCGGTACAGAGTTGACTGTCCAAATTGTTCTTTTCGACCCCCCGAACCCCACGCAAATGCAATACATGTCTCTTGAGCCAATATCACTTGCTCTGGGCAGAGAATACTTGGCCGTCGGTGCGCCCGATTCGACGCTTGACGAAAATGGAATGCAGGGAGAGAAAGAGCGAGAACGCGTCGCCGAGTTAGTCGCAAAGTTGCGTTTTCACACCGTGATCAGGCATGTTCCAACCAAGAAAGAGTTGGCGTTGCCCGCGATCCTCCGACAAATCAATTGCTCCCAGGAAGTTGCAGAGCTGCTCCAGAAGAACACGCCTCTTGTTGGTCCGCGCCGAAAAAGGAGCCTCTCTGTGAGCGAACGAGTCGTGGAATCGGCACAGTCACTCTACACATTTGCGGCGTGGTCGCTTTGGACACTGTTCATGGCGTATGCCTTCCCTACGCTTTTGAACATTTTCAAAATCGCGATCATTGGACACAGGATCGTTGCTGAAGGCCTTTTGCGACTTTTGGAACTGCCCCTGCCTTTTCAAAGACTACAGTCTATAGAGAGCCGGCGAGCAACCAAGGGAACCCTCGCCCTGAAGGATGTCTCGGCCTGTTGTCAACAAGTTCATCTTCGACTCCAACAATTCTCCTATTATCCGACACAATATTCACTTCTCCGACGCCGCAAAGCGACATGGTCATCCTTTCCGACAACAAATAGTGATTACATTCGCTTTTACAATTCGCTTTGGTTGGTAGCAAACGATGTCATTATTGGCATCGCACTTGGGAGCTTCATCAGTGACAATGCGCAAGCTACGTCTCAGCTGATCGGTGGGGTATTGAATGAGTACACAATTGAAGGCCTCAAACGCATGATCAGGTGGCTCATGTCGTACCCAGGAGGCCTCAAATTGAACACGGAACTTACTACATTTCTCGGCGAACTTTTCTTGTGGGTTATAGAATATTGGGCCTCGACGATCGTTGTGCTCATTGTTCCACGACTACCCACTGTCGTGTATGTTGTGGGATGCTCTTCTTTTGCTGGGGCTACTATGCCTATCGCCATTTTCTCCGACCTCCTGAGCTTGCTTACTATGCATATCTACTCTTTTTACGTCGCAAGTGCGCGCATCTTCAACTGGCAATTGACAATCATCGTCAGCCTCTTTCACCTATTCCGTGGCAAGAAGCGGAACGTCCTTCGCAATCGTATCGACAACTGCGACTACGATCTCGATCAACTCTTGTTGGGTACGATTCTTTTCACCTTGTTGTTCTTCCTTCTGCCAACTGTGGTAGTCTTCTACCTGACCTTTGCTTCGGCTCGTATGGCAATCATCTCGCTGAAAGCCACTCTGGACACATGTCTAGCATGTCTCAACCATTTCCCCTTGTTTGCATTGATGCTCAGAATCAAAGACAGCAAAAGGCTGCCAGGGGGCGTTCACTTTCAGCTCCTGGATGCAGAACAGACCCGGGTATCCTACCAGGAAGAAACAGAGCGAGGAGATGATCAGGACGACAGCGTTAGCGACACTGAGGAAGAGGAGGAAGGAGGAGAAGATAATGGAACTACCAGCGTGGCTTACATTCGCCTTTCCTCGACCCCGCTGTCACTGAACCAGATATTTGAACAATATTTCCAGCTCTGGGCACGCATCCGCCGGCACTATCTGTCGCCCACGGTCGTATTTCGGCTCCTCACGGGACGATTTGTACCACCTCTTGGCCGAAGCCAGATGTATGGGCTGCAGTATTCGGTCCTTCCTAGACAACGGGCGACAATTGCGGAGGTGTGGAAAAGCCTGAGCGAGAGTGAGTCGCCAAGCACAACCAATGGAACACCTGCGAATCCACGCGGCCAGAAGATGTATCTTGGAAATTATGGAAGAGCGATAGGGAAGCAATGGAAATAGCAAGAGCTTATTGACACCCTTATGTTGTGTTCTGGGCTTTGGTCGATGTGCTGCAAAGATGCTGGTAATGCCCAAGTAATATCCGCTTACATCATCGTATTTGTTCTCATCACGTGCTCATTCTGACGGGTGCACCTACTGCTAGCAGCGTGGCACAAGATTCACATTCTATCAACCATCTTCATGACAGTTTCCCTGAGTATTCTTGCGAAGCTCTTTCCCTAAAATCTCTCTATCAAAGTGCTCAGTTCTTCGCTCGACACTCTTTAGCGACCCGACCACCCGTTTTCTTATCCTCGACGCCTTATCTCTAGCCGTATCTTCCTTCTCAAAATGCCAAAGTGCCCTAACTGCGGTGGGAGAGTAGACTTGACAAAGGAGGGAGACTGGGGTCACTGCGCTGACTGTCAGTGTTTTATAACATGGTCTCCAAGACCAGCAAACTGACTCCTGCGTAATAGGCAACAATGTAAGCCCACCTAGCTCGACGAGTTCTGGAATGTACAGAGGCTGAAGCCGCCACCAGATCATTGAGATCAAAACCCTGAAGGATGATAGTGGACAGGGGGAGCAACCAGCGACGCAGTCTGGAACGTCGAATGAAGTGAAGAAATGATTGCTATTCGACATGGCACCTTCCTCACAGCTTCATACTATTTGTTGTTGCCCATCTGAACCAACGCACCTACTCACTTCACCTGCCTTCTTTCACTACCAACTGAACCAAATTTCTATTCGTCTCCCAACACCAACACCCGTACAGCCTCATGCGGTGCGGACTCCTTCTCTTTGTTTCGTGATCGTTTCCCACAACAGCGCGAGCTCTATCGTCCCAAGTCCTTTCAAGGTCGTCTTCATCAGCAGCAGCCATGAAGACTTGCCCTCAGCCCTTTTGCTTCCTGCCCTTTTTCTTGTTCCTTCTGTCGGTTGTCATCAGTGCACCAACTCAAGAGAGTGATGAGGATGAGAGTGCTGCGCGGGACGTCGGCAGACCTCTAGATGTTCGGGACACTGCAGTCTTACCATCCGCGTGGGGTTGGCACGTCGAATGCAAAGTAAATACGCCTCCCCACTATGGATGGCTTCTCACTGACGGATTCAAGCAACTGCCAGGCGTCGATATCGGTTACTGTCGGGAAAACAACCCTCCACCAGCGCCACAGTCTCCCGAGAACGCGAAGCGTAATACCGACCTGAAACCAAGAAACGGCAGCTCTACCGATTCCTCCCCGTCCTGGGCATTGACACCGTTGAGGTGCTACGATCTGTGCGCCTGCGACCGACAGGGCACACTGATCTGTCATGAGTGGGGAAGTAGGTGTTGGTCGTTGACTTCACAGCCACTGGAAGACACTGACGCAAAGAGCAGCTTGCAACTTCCATACTGTTTACTTTCGTTGTCATGGGTATGTATCCATAGCAAAGAATGTATGTAACTGGACAGCGACCTGACGTTGAGTTTTAACAGCAGTGGAGAGTGTGACTGTGTCTGGGAGGAGCAACTCACTGGAGATACTGCGAAATTAGGTTGGGTCGATGGCGTCGCTGACTGGGCGAGCAATGGGTACGCGAACCATTGGTGGGCACGGAATGAGAAGGAGAAGGACCAGGAGAGCCCAGAGTGAACACGGCTGCCCTGCAAGGCATCGATCGATTGGTGACGGGTGAGAAGGACTCGTGCTCTCAAGCCAACATATCTACCTGTCATTCGCATCAGTTGTCATGGAGCTTCATCTTTCTCGTCGAGAGGTAACTCGACAGACAAGCCAGCGCCCGTTCACTGTGTCCTTCTTGCTGAGTCCCTTGGCTTTCTACTTTTGCTGATGATTTTCTCACCTTAACCATGAACACAGCCAAGGATCGACAACGACAAAATGGAACTACAACTTGCTTTCTACCATTCTCATTCTGGCACTGGTCTCCAGCGCCTCAAGTCGGTGTGGTGTCAACTGCAATCAAGGGGGTGAGATGATTGGTATTGATTAGCAGAGGATGTCCTCGCACATTCCCAATCTTAGTCTAGTGGTCGAGAGCAATTAACACCTTGCCAGGCTCCGAGGTGCTTGTACTGTACTCGTACGGAATAGGTAGGGAGAATTGGACACTTTGTGATGGGACAGTCTCGACGGCTGCATCGCTTGCGACAGGAGAGGCTTAGGGATCATGATATGTCACCAATCATGCGAAGATGCCGCCCATGCACACTTGTCTGGAGGGTACAACGTCGGAGCATATTATGACCGGGAGAAGAGCCAGTGATATTGATTGGGCCATGCTCGTCAACATACGCATGAGTACAAGTACGCAGAACTCGTACTCCGTCCTTGTTGTCGGGTCCTCGGGCTAAAGAGCGGCCATGATTCTTTCGAGAGAGTTTAGCGGGCTGTCCAACAAGCATTCTCAAGAACCGTCGGGAAACGAACAGGGTTGGTTGGCGGATCCTGCACAGCCAACTGGGAAGCTTTTTACGAGTCTCCACCGACCCTCCTGGCTTCGACCTCCCATTGCTGGATAAGGAATCCCGGATCTTGGGATGGATAGACACCGAGCAAGAGGCGAGGGACGGATGAAGGAGAAGCCAGCCTGACTCCACAAAATCCACAAATCCCTGACAGAACAGTACGAACTGAAACTTCACCACGCGAATGTTTGTCACGGACGGCCAAACCCAAAGCATAGGTACACAACTGTGCGAACGGACAGGCATTAGCCAGCCCACAGCTAGCCCACAGCACGCCCCGCGTCGGCTGACTTCAAGTCGCCTCTAGAGCGTCCCGAAGAAGCGGATGTCAGCACTGTCTTCGATAGCTTTGTTTTGCCCCCTTGACCTCCAGGCCAAACCGGGGGCAACCAGAGAAACACCATCCGACCTGGCATCTGGCAGCCCTCAGTCTGTGATAAGCGAACCAACCATCTTGTATCTTCGCGGTCTTATGCGACCACTCATCAGAATTGCTAAACAAGGGTACAACCCCGTCCGTCTGTCTCTGAGTACGTGGATGTTTGTCTGTGTGTCTGTGCGCCAGTATTGGTAGCCATCTTACCCTCCTGGTTATCCACATCCCATGCCGTCGCCTCCCTACCCAATCGCAGGCATCATCCTCCAACGCCACACGATATACCACGGATCAGGCGCAATTTTCGATTGCTTGCACTGGATCAGGCAACAGGTGCGCCCGCTGCTTTACTGTGCCTCGAGACTCATCCGAATTCACACTGGCATTCTGGCTGGCAACCGGCTGACAAACTGTAAGCGCTTTGTTGGCCCCGCTTCGATCGACTTGAAGCTGCCTTTTGCTGGCCTTTGCTCTCTTTAGAGGCCCAAGGCCTGCTGGTGCCTCGTGTGCATTGCCTCACGAGAGCCACAGGAGTTCACAAGTACGGGCGACGATCCTTGAGCCTCATACCATTGCTCCGCCGACAATGGTTGCACAGTCGCTACCGAAGGCATGGCAAAGGCAATCAAAATAGAACACTTACTTCTGCAGAATCCTTCACCGTCGATCGGTGAGGAACCACCACCGCGCGTCCCCGCTGTGAAGAGAGATGCGACTCAGAGCCGTCAGCCGGCACATCGCCCTCAATTAGAGCTGAAGACCTCATCTACATCACTCGTACCAGCCCGGTCACCAGCAGCATCGGAGCGATTCTCATGGGACTTCGACAATGAGGAGTTGTCTTCTAACCGACGTCGAAAACGAAAGTCGCCCATTGAGGACCAAGTGTTTCCGACAAGGAAGGCCATCAGGCTACCTCGATTTTCCGTCAACATCTTCCACTCGGAGCCAGTCAATGTCTTTCCCATTCCCAACGAAGGGGTGGTTCCGCGGATGGTGAAGTATTGTGAGCACATATCGGAGACTGGATTCTTCCAAAGTTGCGCTAATCATGTGTCCAGATTTACAGGTTTGGGCGGAGCAGCATGGTCGAGCACTTGCCTTTGAAGGCCATCCCAAGCCATATCAGTCGCTGGTGTTTCCGTATGCCCTGGAGCACGCTGTCTTGTTCGAAGCCATGGTCGCGCTCAGCCGGGCGTCATGGCTTTTGCAAGAAGGCATTCCATGGTCCAAGGACAGCGCCCTCGCATATCATCGTGCCAACGCATTCGCCGCGCTTCGCCTGAGGCTGACGTCTGAAGCAACGTGTGCGGACGACACCACTATCTGTACCATTGCGGCTCTTACGACGATCGATGTAAGTGAAAAGCCGTTGTCAGATCAACGAGGTCTAATGGATCTGGTAGTACATGCTCGGTGTTCACGAAGGTGCACATAACCACATCAATGCTATGCAGCGGATTCGGAAGATTCGGACCGATCTCAAGGGTGACACACCGTGGCAATACTTTGTCATCTCTGCCATGAAAGCGTAAGATTCCCAATCTCCCTCGCAAGCGCAGTCTCTAAGTTGGCCAGATACGATGCCCTGTGGAAATTTGTCAAAGATAGAAACGAGGCCACCACCAGCATGGCGCAGCTCTCCATCGAATCACCTATGCGAAACGAACTACCCCTCTATCCATCTCTCCCATTCAATATCAAAGTGTGCGAGGCTCTCTCGAAGGTGTCGACCTCATTCAATGACATGGCTATGGCAGGGGAAATGTCTATTCAGATGATCGACATTCTTGCAAATCTATCTAAAACAGCCCGGGGCGATGGCAGTGCTACGCCTACCAGTTCGCCCCCAAGCTCCCCCGGAGGACGGAACTTGCTGAACACAATCGCTGATTTGAGGTGTTTGTCGGTAATGGCCACCACCTCTATCGAACACAAGCTCTGCTTCGGCGTCATTGGGACGTGCTTCACCCTCCATTTTGGGGATGGGAAGATCGGCGAAGAGTTCAACGAGACACTCCAGGAGCTTGAAGATGGACTCATTGGCAATGGCAAGCCTCGACCGCAGCAAGAGAAAGCCCAGAAGAACCATCGAGAATGTCTAATTTGGGTAGCTTTGGCAGCTGCAGGTGCACTCGAACAGTCTGAGCTGATGTCTGCTATGAGTATGCTGCTGGACGAAACTTTGGACAAATACCCGGAAGAGACGGCCCAGTGGGAGACATTAGAGGGGATCCTGAAGAAATTCTTGTGGAACGATCTACTGGCACGGCATTGGAGAAGATGCTGGGCCAAGGCTGTGCGTCGGCGGTCGAGTGTACGATGACGGTCACCACTGAGGACAAGCAGTCTCAGCTACTAATGATCAGTAGCCATCCTGCGTGGCCAACTGAGGGGTTCAATGGCGAAAAGCAAGCGCCCTCGAACGATAGAGTTGATACCGTGGAACAGCAGCTCCCATCCATCCCAGACCCCGGCTTAGGAGGCGGTTTACTAGGAACGACCGGCAAGGGACCTCGCTCGACAACCTACAGTAGATTGAACTACCTAGGAAGATACAACCTTTGAGAAAGAAACCTCGCATCCTCAGGGCAAAGCGGCAACAAGTCTGCGGCTTAGAGCAGTGCAAGAGGTTCTCACCGCCAGTTCAGCCTTATAGGGCGTCGATCCTGGCCGTGTCTGAGGTCCATTTTTTTGCATCAGCCGCACGAGCAGTTCCTAGGACAGGGTGGAATAGACTACCAACAGTCTACCAAACGAGCATCAGGATCAGATTGCAGCGCGAACCGAGTTGCCACTTCGGATAAGGCATGTCCTCTCGCTCCTTAGCACCATTGGTCGCAGTCAATGCTGCCAGCTTCCTTCCAAGTTCGCGAACTTGCCGAGTCACCCCCCGGGTCTTCGAAGAGGCGGCTGACAGTCTCAGCACGTCCAGATACCTCGTCCTGCATTATTTTGCCAGGAAGGAGACGCTTTTGTCGCCACAGAGCGATTAAGCAACGCCTGGACCGAGACTTGTTAACGAGGGGGATAAAGAGATTTTCCCGAGGGGACAGAAAAACTTTTGCCTAGCCTCAGGAACCCTGTACTATCACACAATTCTATCCGACAACCTTGAGACGCCACGGGTACCACTGGTCATGCTCGGGTAGGCGACGGGCGGGTATATGGAGTACAAGTAGGGTTAGTGACCCTGTGACATTCCCGGTGGCTAACCAAGGCCATTGTGTATCAGGACGGCCAGGAATACAACCCATGCGATCCAACAAGATCTTCCCCTTTGTCCACATACCCACTCGGCTGCTTTTGTCTTCCTTTCCTTGCTGGGATTTCCTACGAGTATAGTACGACGAGGGGCTTCGGTTGGCATCCGACGAATCACGCCCATCAATTCCCGTCACTCCAAGCCAAATTTAGTAATGGGCTCGTGGATGTCCGTGCGTGGATGAGGGTGAGGGTCCGGTGGGATGGGGCCAGGACTTCCGGAGTCCAGGTATCAAAGGGAAGGAATGGCAAAAGGACAGACATTATCCTCCGACATGATCAGGCTCTGCTCAATCTCAATGTACGAGTACGACTTGCTCATCCTACCGAACCAGGAATCAGATTGCCTGGAGCTCCAGTGAGACAGGACACAACCAGTACTTTCAGGCGGATCGCCACCCACACCCCGGCTCGGGTTGCATGAGTTCCCGTGACAACTTTCAGTGTCAGGCCTCCAGTACAGGGATGTCGCCTTTTTCGCGTTTAGTGCAAGGGAAATGAACTGCTCGGACGAGAAGACCAGTGGCCATTCGATGCTTTTGGGTCAAAAGACAATTGCCATGATAACACGAAGCACACGCCGAGAAATTTCCGGGTCCAGCCTCCAGCCTTATGGTGAATGATCAACCGTTTCGATCAGACTGACTCTGGTCATGGGCAGAGGGATCCAGCTACGAAATATACGAGCATGCACTTGGCCGTCGCACCATGTCTTTCAGAGTTGAGTAGCCGACTGGAGAACAGAGTTGGCTTGAAATTAGCGACCGTGGACATGGCAGTGAGGTCAAGAGTAAAAAATAAGGGAGGAGAAGGGTGAAGAAAGACAAAGGGAGAAAGATATGTGAGAAGTTGATGGCCCGTATCACCGCCGCCACCACCACCACCGCAAATTCTCTCGTTCAACAGCTATTCCACCATCAGTTGCGTCTACCCCTCTTTCCCTCACGAGAGAAAGCATGGCCCTCCCTGTCAGTTGTAGCCAGATTACGCTCAACTCGTCGCCGACCCGGCCGTGTTGGGAGGCGAATGCCGCAAAGCAAGAAAGAGCATGGGTTGGGATGGAGATATTGCCAACATCAAAAGTTTGCTCAGACATGTGTTGTTCTATCCCAGAGTTCAGAGGACCTTCCATGCTGGGTTCTCACGCCCTGTATGGTCGTGAGTGATCGTGCTCAGCGAGATGTCGGCCGATGACCCGGTCGAATCGCAAGAAACGGGGGTGCATTTGAGATGTCCCAACCACTTCGGCACTCGTGGATCGACGAATCGGGCGAGTGACAAAAGACGATCTGTTCTTCACTTTGGCAGCCTTTGTTCGTTATATTCACCCACCATCATTCTGTCTGAAAAGATGTACAGACAGACGAAACAGCCAAGTGACACGATCCAACCTAATCCATGCGCTTCACTTTTCCAACTCTTGGGAAGAAAGAGCCTCAGCTGGACGATTCGCACATCGACAAAACGCCGTGACTGCCAAGGTCGACATGTGCGCTCATATCGATTGAATCAAGAAGTCACACACGTCCTCAGGAAACGGCCAGACAGGGGCGTCCTGTATATCGACGAAGAGAGCGAGTGACGCACGGACGGATAAACAGACAAACAATCAAACAGGGAACACCTCTCTGTCTGGAAATCATCCCAGTCAACCGACGAAAAGGGCGAGTGACAAAAAGTCAAGGTCCTCCTTTTCGATCTTTCTTCTCTCTCTCTCACTCCAACAAGCACCCTTGGACGTTCATTCTGGTGATGATACACCACCTGCCTACCCGTGTCCGAGAGCGGCAAATATGCTTGCCTGTCTGTATGGATCTTTAAATGGATGTCGTGCATACGAGACAAACTGGCAAGAGGGAATAGGCTGCTGAATCCCAAGGACGGAGGACATTTGGACGACGTGGGGGACAAGACAAGACACAAGATCAGCGTCTTGTTTATGGCTCTGGCTCTGGCTCTGACTCTGGCTCTGGTGAAGCAAACATTGGCTCACTCAGAACGCCGGCACTCAATTCCCAGGACCGGCCATCCATGCTTGTTGTACCCAATAAAGACATGAGGCGCAAATGGCATGTTTCCGCTTCCGCACCACCTAAGACGACTGACGAAATATTCGCAGGTCGAGAACAGAAATCAAATTTGCACCATAGGAACAGTGATATATTCCAATATCCAATATATGCAGCAGACCCTTGGAGGGAAGACCTGGTCTTCACCAACCCGTTCACGCCATTATATGCCCTCAACCATGAATGCTTCTTTATGACCAATGCGTGGAACAACAAGGATACAGATGCGGCGCTCCTATAAAACCATGTCTGAAGAAAACAAGAGCTAGCAGCACGGCCATTTCAGGCTCTGATCCCTTCCAGAATCCCCAGAAACCCGTGGGTTCCACCGGCAGTGACGAGGAGTATGGGTTGTTCACGCCAACTGCTGAAAAATCGCGGTCGGTCTTCAGCCATTGGTGCCCTTTGACCTGGATAGACTCGGGGTTTGTTGCAGAAACGTGGCAACAGTGAGGATGCCGATGCTGTAGGATCGTTCCGGAGTGGTGAGGGATGATTTGCACAGGCTTGACATGTCTGAGTGATCATAGCCGCTTTTGGGAGATTCTTGACCGGCATCGCCGTGCATCTGCCTTCTTTTCTTTCCTTTTCCTCCACAAGACTTCCACCCTTCTCCAGATGTCTCCCACCATATCCAACAGTAGATACCCAATCCTCCTAAATATTCTGGTTGGTACACCCCTCGCATAGAAATCAGACCTCTGCTTTTTCTGAGATTCCCAAAACAAAAACCACACGGGCAATTTCCAAATTCCCTATGGCTCGTCCTCGTTTTTTACAGCTTGATATTGGTTATTTCTCCTCTTCAGTCTATCCCCGGTGGTAGGCGTGGGTTTATCCACTCTCAATACCCAACAAAGTATATCCTCGGCCGGCAACAAGAACATCCAAACTCTATTACAACAGAAACTCAGAGTAGTCGTACACATGGCAACCACGGCGTCCAACCAATAGTGATTCGCGGTGGCGACAATAACGGTCAAGACCAACAAAGGATAGCAGATGCCGGCGATAAGAAAGAAGATCTGGGCATAGAAGGGTTTGCGTGGTTCACTCCGCTGGGCGCGCCGAAACACGCCCGAGTGGTAGAGAAAGGTACTCCCAACACAGAAGGCGTACGTGAAATGCAAAGAAGGCATGGCAGCCAGTTGGTTGACATAGTTGCCACCCACCCAAACCGACTCGGCGTTCGCTTGACGGACCGTATCGTGAAAGCCGTATTCCTCGGGCAACAGACGCGGTGGCATGCATGGGAAGAAGGTGAAGATTGCGAAGGCGGCAAAATTGCCCAGAGTCATGGTTCGGCGCACGGTGGCGAAAGCCGAGTGAGTGGGGGCAGCATAGTAATACCACGAGAGAAACCTGAGTCAAGTTAGTGGGCTGGCAAGAAGGATGACTTGGAAGATGTGGAAAACATACGCAACGGTACCCGGAATATGAACAAGTGAATAAATGCGGTTTAGAAATGTCATGGCGGTCAAATGACCACCTAAGAACCAAGCTTGGAAGTCATTCTCCCTGATGGGGAAGAGAAAGCTCAGCCAGGATTTATGCTCGATGTCCAGGATAAGGATGGCGTGGTCTTGGGCCAGCTGCCACAGACCATCATCTGCGGAAAACAGAACTTGAGCCACAGCCTTGGTCAGGGTGTAGAAGAGCAAGTTCAGGACCCAGTAAAACATTTCGATCAGGAAGGGGAACTTGGCCAACACTCTCGAGTGCCAGTTGTCGGCGAACCTGGACGAATTCGGGGTCTGGACGACAAGACCACAGCAGTTTCGCTTCTTGGGTGGATACTTGGACGAGGTGAACACATCCGAATCAGAAGTGAGAGACTCAGAGTCGGTGAAGCCATCGGGAGACGAGCCTTGGGAATTATTGTGGGGGAGTAGAGAGCGTGTAGGTGAGCGGCCCCGGCTAGAGCGAAATATGCGGAAGTTGTGTCTCCGATTAAAGTAAAGCGAAGCAGTCATGATACTGACGACAATCTGGA